CCATTGTGTATGCCCCCATGTCATGTGGACACAGTGGGTGGGGCATTGAGATGAGGTGGATGCCAGGAATAGTGTTAGCACCCTTCCCGCCCCTCACACCACTGACAGTGGGTAGGAGTTTGCACAAATGGGTCTGGGCCTCATCCTGTGCTTCCTACATGCTGCCACCAACACTCCCCTCCCCCTGAATGTGGGAAGGTGCAAGATAATGGTGATGATGATGATGATGATGATGATGGTGATGATGGTGGTGATGATGATGATGGTGATGGTGACGATGATGATGATGGTAATGGTGATGATGATGGTGATGGTGACGATGATGATGATGATGATGATGATGATGATGATGGTGTTGATGATGATGGTGATGATGGTGATGGTGATGATGATGGTGATGGTGATGATGATGATGGTGATGGTGATGATGATGATGGTGATGATAATGGTGATGATGGTGATGGTGATGATGATGGTGATGATGGTGATGGTGATGATGGTGATGATGATGATGATGGTGATGGTGATGATGATGATGGTGATGGTGATGATGATGATGGTGATGATGATGATGATGGTGATGATGGCGATGGTGATGGTGATGATGATGGTGGTGGTGGGTGAGGATGGTCAAGGATCCCCAAAGGGATGAGACAGAGGGGAATAGAAACAACAAAATCTGGAGAACAATTGCTACTTGAAAAATGGAAATCTTAGTGATATTTTTTTTTACCAAGATGATTAAGTTATTTTAGAAACATGAGTCATTTATTGACTTCTGCCCTTTCTTCCCCTGAATGCTTATGAAAAACACATACATGGAAGATTTTTATAAAATTATGAGTAATATTAGATCACTATGATTGTTGTTTATGAGGACAGCAGTCCAAGACTTCATTGCAGAAGGAAGATGAATCTGAACTGCTGGAAGCCACTTCTAATTTGCCCCCCAAGAAATGAAACTTTGAGTCTTTTTGCTTGGAGCTTATTCTTTCTACCTGTTCTCATTTTCTTTCTAGAAAGTAGTTTTTTTTAATGAGTGCATATATAGTTTTCTAAAAACTATTATTTTTTTATGAGTGCATATAAGAACTGGGGTACAGGCCAGAGGTGCAGAAGTGGGTGAGAGGGTTCATCAGAGAAAGAGTGGGGAGCAGAACAGACAGATTGACTGAAATCACTGCTGAGGGGAGCAGCAGGGAGACAGGAAAGGTCTGCTGCACCATGTGGGTCTGCTCCATGGCCCAGGATCAAACTCAGGCCACAGTGATTATAGTGCTGAAACTTTAAACCCTGAGCTACCAGGGAGGACTTTCCCCATTTTTCTTAAGCTTTCCTCAAGATTGTACATACATCTGGTTGCAGGTGTCAGTTATTTCTATCAGTTTGTTCTAGAAAACAGTGCTTCCTGCTTCTGTGCTTCTCCACGCCTCTTCTAAGATGCCCACCTCCATTTCCTCGAACCCATGTGTAAGTATGTGTCAGTGCACATGTTTGTGCCTGCACGTATACACACAAACATGTGCATATGTGTTTATGTATAGTGTGTATATGCGTGTTTAACTGTGTGTGTGTCTGTCTCTCTGTTTCTAGACTATATGATTGTATTGCTACTTCCCCCTAGGAGATACAGGAGCAGGAAGGGTGACTTTTATTCTAATATGTGGTCTTTGATCCAAGAGCTTCTAAGACTTGTGGAATCTCAGGCATATCTTTTGGATGCTAATGAGATACCTGCTGGCCCGAGACCCCTGAAGATGGGGTCCCTGCCACTTGGCGTTCTTGTAATTCAGCATATTCAAGAGTTTTAACAGTTCTACACCAGGAATCAAAGGCAGACACCAAATCTACATGTCTTACTACAGCACAGCTATAGTATTTTAAGCACTGAATATTAGTTTTGCCAACATTATAATAAAACTATTCTGAACAGTAGGCTGGAAAGGGTCTGCTGTGGGAATGGATGAGGAAGAACCAATTTTTTATATTTTAAAGTGGGTCCTGTATGAGTTGTCAAAAGGACAGGTGGCTATCTGGGACTTGTGTCTGAAGTGGGGGACAGTCTCATGGATGGAGCCCTGATGCTGGGTGTGTGCGAGTGAGCGTCAGAACTGAATTGTAGGGTGCTCAGTTGGCATCTAGAGAGTTGGAAAATTGGTTGGTGTGAGAAACACTCCCACACATTTGGTGTCAGTGTCGTGAGTAGAAAAACAAGTTTTCGTTAATGACAATGTAAATGCTATTCAGCAATTCCTTTTCTTTTCCTATATACATTTTTGTTTCTCGAGTTAACAATTGCCTTGTTTTGCTGGCATGTGCTCTCAAACTCTTCATCGCTGGTCTAAATCTGTCCAATTATTTTAGATGCACCAGGGAGTCTAAGATTTTATTTGCCTGAGAAAGTCTCTCCTCTCTATATAACTCTTACCTGTTCCAATCTGGACCTGTCTATCCAGACAAGCACCACCCTACATCCTGGGGTCTACTTTTCCAATAGTCCTGGTGACCCCCTTTGACTCCTGGGTCTTGCATTGTCTAGACCCCATGTCTTCGTATCCTGGCTGTTCTAGCTTTTAGAGGAGCAGCTTCCAGAAAAACAGTACATAGAAAGAAAGCTTACTTTTGGGAGTTGATTTCTTCGAAAAGCCTTTAGGGTTCCAGATAAGAGAATTGTAGGATAGAGATAATTGTTCATTGCTTTCCAGCTTCCAAAATTACCTTTGAAAGGTCTATCTAAAAACAATTCTGAGTCCTAATATTTTGAATTTGGAAACCTACACAGCCCTCTTCACGTCTCTAGAAGCTTTGGGAACCCTTGCCCACATCAGATAGCTAGTTGGTCAAAAGTCTAGAAGGATCTAGTAGGATCTTCTCGTTATGCTCTGTACCTTGGAATGTTGTAATGATGGCCCTGGCTGGGTCTTAGAATATGAAAGCTCAAGCACTTTAGTTTTGGGAGTTTTTCTTCAATTATTTGGCTAGGAGTTTTCTGTCCTCTATTAGTTCTCTCTTTTTAGAATCCCCATTAATTGGATATTGGCTGCCCTACTATTTTTTCCCCCGTCTACTTTGCTGAGATTTTTTTCACGAATTTCATTTTCTGATTCTTCTACTGAGTTTTAAGTTTTAGGTCTCATGCTTTTAATCCCCAAGAGCCCCTCTTTGTAATTTTTGGAATGTTGCTTTTTCAAACAACATCTTGTTATTTAATATGGTTTTGCTCCTGAGAATATTGATGGAGTGGGGTGGGGAGGGTGCGATGTTCTTCTCATTGCACTGTTTTTCCTCAGAGTTGTTTTATTTTGGTTTTGATTTTGTCTTCCACCTCTTCTCAGATGTCCCAAACTCCTTGTTTTCTGCTCATGTGAGTCAGGGAATGATTAGAAACTTTGGACTTGTGAGTGGGACTTGTTGACCCCGGGCTTCTTTGGAGAATGGCTGACTGGGCCAATTAACAGAGGAACTTCTGACACCTGACCATTTAGAGCCTTCTCTGGCTATGCTCAGTTTTTTTTTTTTTTAAGATTTATTTATTTATGTGTACTGAACTGGGGTACAGGCCAGTTTTTTAACCACAATCATATGTGGAAACTCAGGTGATAAAGTGGGTATAAATGGAGCAGTTCTGGTTGAAGAGAGACGAGGACCTGCTTTCTCAGGCCTCTGCCTCCTCACCCCTGTGGAAACCTCCTGGAAATCATAGCTCACTGATTTAGAAGTTGTTGAACACGTTTCCTCCCTCTGGTAGATGACAGACATTTGAGTGATATTTTTTTCATAATGGAAGGAATGTTATTTTGTCCCCCTTAAGTAAAACTTAATTTTACTGCTTATAGTTTTTCAAATGGTAAAAGGCATGACCAAGGTATGCCCAACCAAGGGGAAGATACTTGGATTGGAATGAAATTGGACTCTGAGCTACCTTAAGACTGAACCTATAATCAAGAAAACAACTTTAAAATTATATATTTGAAAGTGTATAAATTTAGCCAAACATTAACTAATACTTAACTGTACCTACACATTTTGATAATTTGAGGATGATGGAAATTCCCCTATTGCTTTCAGAAAGCCAAAATTTTGTTTTGTACGCCATTGCTATTTGGCACATTGTTTTGTCCAAAGTTATTTACGTGAGCATATGGGAGAGGAGGTCTGTAGGGTTTATTCTTTATGGGAATTATTGGTAAAATTCTGCTTGATTTAGCTTAACATTTATGAGCAGTGTGACGCTGACATATTTTCATTTCATCCCTCTTCCACCTCTCTCTGGCACAGACCATCAGCTACCTGAGGACAAAAGAATATGGCCGGTCCTCACAGCAGATGGTTCTAATGGCCTGGTGGGGAACACCTGTCAAACTTTACAACCCTTGGCACAAGAAATGTGTGTTCTCATATTTCTAAAGTGACCCCAGGTATCTTTTTCTTTTAATGTCATCAAGAAAGAAAATTGAAAAAAAAAAAAAAAAAGGAATAAGCAGCAACCAAAATGTAGCGAACCGAAGTGAAAGATGGGAGTGTTTTCAGAATCATCCACTTGGAATCTGCTCTGCTGGCACTAGTTGACAGTAGAATCATTTCACAGAAGACTCAGTCATCATGCTAAACAAACTCTGCCAGTGTGCTACAGGAAGGGGGTTGTCAGCTTTATTTGCAGGCAGGAAACACCTTTAGAAAAGAAAACTGTGACCCAGACTCTGGTGAGAAACACCTCATATTTTGATTGGAAGGGCTCTCGGACACAACTGAGGCTTTGTTCTGCTAGTGAACTCACTTGTAGGAGAACCTTCTATGACCAGTCGAGTGAGGCTCCCGGCAGTGGATGGTGGAGGAGCAGCTGCTGTAGGAAGGGCCCACTCCCAAACTCCTTACAGAAGAGCATTGCTTTCTTGTTTTTTTTTTTTTTTTTGGGGGGGGGGAGCTGATCGAAAGGCATGAAGACATAAAACAACTTTTTCTAGTTGTAAAAACAGTCACGTCCTGGGGCTGTCACGTGCATGGTGAATACAGGTAATGATACCACGTTCCCTATTTGAAAGTGGCTGCAGACTAGGGCTTACAAGTTCTCACTGGGAGAAAATTCACATAAGCAACTGTCATGGCGATAGCTGTGCTCATGTGGGATCATGAAACTAATCAACGCTAGCAGGTGATCGTATCACAGCTCACTGGTGGTGGGGGGGGGGCGACAAAGAGAAGACTATTGACACCACAGGAAGGTTTCACTTTGCAGAACTGTCATCTCTACAAGGTTGAGGACAGGTCATGGGAAGGTGGGTCCTGGCCATGTTCATGCTTCGGCGACTGCAAGTCACTCAGAGGCTGCCTGTGAGCACACCCGGGAGGGTCCCTGGTTAGCTGGGACTGCAGCAGGGTGTGTGTGCCATGGCCTCAACTTGCTTCACAATGACAGCATGAGGCTGGCCTTTTGCCAGAGGCTTCTGAGAGGAGAGAGCCAAGGTGTTGTGAAACCTGCAGAAGTCACATGCTGCAGTTGTGCTCGAGAAGAAGCCAGAGGAAACATGTGGCACCGTCAAGTGAGGCTGGGCTGTGACACTGTCGGTCAGGTTGGCACCTGCTGCGGATAGCCCCTGGGAGCTGAGGGAGCAGGACGCCACTCTGCAGGCACGTGCTGTGTCCGAGAGGGCGGGACGCCTTGCCGGGAGCTCGTGTGGGCGGTTATCCTTGTCCTGATTCTCATGGACCGCTCGCCTGTGGAATCTTGAGAGACACCACGTAGAGCTGTCCTTGGGGGAAGCCATGCAGACGGGGGTCATGGGGGAGACCATGTAGAGTGGGGCTTTGGGGAGACCATGGAAAGGGGGCCCTTCCTTGGGGGAGACCATGAAGAGGGGAGGCAAGGCCATTTTCTGCAAGTGGTGGTGGAGGAGGCCGTGACTCCAGGACTCAGACATCTGAAGAGGCCAATCCCTTCCCTGTTTCCCAGCCACACCTCTGCCATCCTCTCCCCTCCTCTCTCCCTCATTTCCCCCTTTTTGCCTGATTTCCATCTTCCAAGCATTTCTGCCTTTCTGCTTTTGCTCCCACATTCCTTAGATCTTTCCTCTTGGTTCTCCCAGGTCAGGGTCAATCTCAACCCGTGTGGTTGTTGGTGGAAGCAACATGGAGCAAGCAGAAATCACTTTATCATGGCAAGGTGTCCTCACAGGCTGGCTGTTAACTACCCCACATGGGGGGTCTCGTCCTACATCCAGGGGGCCCTCCCATGGGCTTTGTCCCCAGGGCCTCTGCTCAGCCCACCAGCTCTGGCTCCCCTTGGGGAGCCCATTCTGTGCAACATTTCCCATTTCCTTTTCTCTCTTCTCTTCTCTTCTTTTCTGTCCTTTTGTTATGACTTATGAGCCCTTCTGAGGAAGGGCGTCATTCTGGTTTCCAGAGGACACAGACTAACTCATGTTCATGCTTAACCAGCTTATTGAAAACATGACAGGGAAAACATCACATTCAAATGAAAAACTCCCCTAGCCCCAGTAGGGGAACTGCCAGTGACATTTTAAGCATCAGAAGAGGCTGGGGCCTGGGGGTGAGGGGGACTGGGAAGGAAGCCTTTTCTCAGTGCTTCTGAGACCACGTGGGTGATGTCTTACTCCACCAATCAAGAGGTGGACCTTAGTAGAACGTGTACAGGCCAATGAATATAATACTAGCCCAGGACATGAAGGGCCAGAGAAGGTGATGAGGAGTGGAAAGAGGGCATTTTCAAAGGAAAAGTTAGGCAAGAAATAGTACAGTGAATACATAAAGTGCAGAACATAGATGTTTTCTTTTTAAAAATATTTATTTATTTGTGCATACAGAGCTGGGGTACAGGCCAGAGGTGCAAGGGCAGTAAGAGGTTTCACCAGAGACAGAGTGGAGAGCAGAACAGGCAGATCCATGAGGTACACTGCTGAGGGGCGCAGTGGGCAGGTCAGGAGAGGCCTGCTGTGCCCTGTGGGTCACCTCCGGGGCCAGGGATCAAAGTTGCACTCAAGTGGCTGCAGCCAGCTTGCAGTGCTGCACCCTAACCCGTTGTGCAGCCAGAGTGGGCCCAGAATATCGATATTTTCAATCACCCTTGAAACCTCACTCTGTTGACATCCCTGCATCCGGCTCGGATAAAATGCAGGTAAATCCAAGTTATGCAAACAGTGTCATCGAGCCCAGAGTGATTTGCATGTGGTCTGGGAGGTGACAAGTGCCCTCTTCTCCAGTCCCAAGAGATTGGAGAGTTCATTCTTGCCAGCCTTCTTTGACTCCAAAGAGAGCTATTTCAACATCCGCTGGGACTTTATCAACACACTCACCTTCTGGCTAGCGGTCTGGCTGGCCACCTTCTATTGCGTGAAGGTCTCCTTCTCCCACCCCATCTTCTTCTGGCTCAAGTAGCGGATTTCTCCGTCAGTGTCCAGGATGCTACCAGGCTTCCTGGTCATATCTAGTCTGACGACCAGCTCCTCAGCCATTGGGAATGGAAATCTCATGTCCTTGATTGCGTCCCCCGGCTCTCAGGGGAACCCCACCCTGGCTGATAGGATAGTGACATTCCATCGCCGCTTCTTTCTTCTGAATTTAATGCTTTGATGTCAACTCCCTTCCTCCTGTTCGTGGTGTCCACCCTCCTACTCATATTCTCCCTGCAGCAGCCCCTGGGCCAGATGAGAGGCCATCGGTCCAGCCAGCACGATCCCAGCACCTGGGCCCACACCACACTCCTGAAGTCACCCTCCTTTCTCATCTTCCACATCTTGTACTTCCTGTCCCTGCTGTTTGTCATGATGACAATCATCACCTTCCAGAATCACTGGCACTGGGCCTGGGAGGTGGTGACCTATGTGGGCATCTGTCTGCACGCCAGCATCCAAATGCCCTTGAAGACCAGGCTGTGGAAGGCACTGCTCAGAGGGCAGCCTAACTCCACCGGTCAGGGTCAATGACCAGCATCAGCGGTCCTGCTCGCGAGTTGGGGAGTGCCGAGCTTTGGGGATCGTCCTCTCCTTACCTTCCTCCTTCTGCTCCCACTGTCTCCAGGCCCCATCGACTCTTTTCCATCCTTGTCTGTACCTTCCATCCCCTCTATTGTTCCTGGCCTCTCATCTGGGACCCGAAAGCACTTTGATCTGGAGTGTCCTAATCTCTCATCCCAGAGACAGTGAAGAGAGCTGCTAGTCAAAATGGGAGCAAAAAAGTAGCAATAACAAAGTTTGCAAAGCAGTCTCAAGTCATTAATTGTTGTGTGATGCATAGTCTTACAATCTTGGTGGTTGAGGCCCCAGAACTTTGTTATAATGTGGAGGCTGAGCTATGGCAAGAAGAAAAAGAGGAGCAGAAATGAGCTAAGAAGGGTGAGGCGTTTTCACTTGGACAAAGATTAAAGCGTTCCAAGAGGAAGCGTTCAAAGAGGAGCGTCCCAAATTGCTGGGGAGCAGCACGGGGGATTTCCCGGGGAGTAGAGAGAGGGGAAAGCTGGAGCCGAGGGAGTCTGGCTCCATCATAAGGAGAGTTTCTGCTTTCTTTTAAGCAGCAGCGTGAGTGAGTGAATGTCTTCCTACAGGAAGGGCAATACTCATGTGTGGGGCCTAATTTGAGGCTCGAGCCATAGAAGACTGGATAGAGGCAGCAAAAGTAGGCACCTCAGCGGCCTCCTCTGTCCCTTTCACTCAAGTATAAGCACCTGGAGGACTACCTTTCCTTGTATGGTGCTCCCGTTTTCCTGTATGGTGCTCCCGTTTTCCTGTATGATGCTCCCGTTTTCCTGTATGGTGCTCCAGGTTCCTTTGCATGGTGCTCCAGGTTCCCTTGTATGATGCTCCATTTCTGAACGTCTTGGGTGGGGAAGGGATAGAAGGGAGACTCTCATTCTTTATAACATTTTCACAGCCTTTGACTTATGCCCCATCTAGAGGGCTCATCTCAGGAGTTTTTAATTGGTAATATTCTCAACCTATCTGTCCTAGGATTCAGCTCAGAAGAGTTCCAAAATATTTGGTGGTTCCATCTTGGCCAAAGACCCAACTCATATCTTACCTTGACTTTTAAGGCTCAGCAAGCCTGGTGATCTTTCCCGGCCTCGGTTTTCACCTTCATAGACCGCCACTCCCTATGTGAATCCTCCCTAGATGCCATCACACTTACACATCTTAGTTGAAGCTATAGTCCTCCCTCTAACACACTAGATACATCTCTGCTGTCCCATAATAAAGGGGTGCTGCTGTGGAGCTTTCTGAGAGTTTTAGGGTGGGACTAGAATAGCCCAGGGCATTCAGAACCACAGCCTGGGGGCCCTCCTTTCCCCTCCCTCTAAGAGAGAACTGAGCCGAGTATTTCCCACCTAGAGAACTTACCTGGGTTCCTATCCCTACAGCCTCATCATTATATATGTTAAGACCAGCTGGGAAATCTTTAAAATTCTCAGCCTTGGCTTCCACGGAAGAAGAGAAATCTGAATAGGAGAGATTGTGATACATGAATACAACAAAAAATCACCCTAAAACACCACATATTTAAATGTGAGGGATCATTCACCTCTTTGACTTAATTTCATCTGCACAAAGTCCATGCCTGGCCAGTGCGTGTGACTTATGGTCAGTGCATGAAGGCCCTTCCAGGGTGGACAGAAAGCTCACAACTGTAGCTCCAGTGCCTTTCCCAGGGCCACTGTGGCATCTAGGATATGCCTAATGGACTTGTAAGACGGGCTGAGGGTTAACACCTACCTTACTGCATCAACCACTGAAGGTGTTGGAAGTATCTAGGAAAGATAGGAATGTTCCATGTTGAGGGGCTTGTAGCTGGCCAGACCTCAGAGCTGAGTCTATGTTATCCCACTGCTCCAAGCAGGTAACTCTCCAATGTCAGCTAGAGAAACAGGACAAGGTAGAGAGCAGCTGGCAACAGTGTCCCTTAGAGATTTGCCTCTTCATGGAAAGGCAGGTGAACGAGTCACCTTGTTTCTCTCCTGGACCCGGGACCTTTCTCCTAGGTGGACTGGAACTGGAAAGAGAGGCTAAGAGTTCTGCACCCCATTCTTTTGGGGGGATTTCTCTGCATGCAACTGCTGGCTGGGCATGAGCATACTATGAGACACTCCCTCACGCCACTTCATCCTGCACCTCTGCTAGTGCTGTATTTGACCCAGAGTGACTTTGGTTAGTGTAGCTCCCTGCCACACTCGATGGCCAAGGCAGCACTCACCTGATTGCTGAGCTTTTAAAAACTCCTTGAGGCTCATTCCTATAAAGAAGGTAATGGCTAATTATGCCCTCGTCTGGCTGAAGTAGATGGTCCTGGAGGGTCCTGGAGTGCCCTGCGACCCTCTGCTCCCCCCTGCCCCCCCATGGTCTCCTGAGTGTTCCATGGAGTACTTGTCACTCAGACGCTGGAGGGAATGGAAGAAAATACAGCAACAGCGTCATCATCACCCTCACTGCTTCTGAGGTTTCTGCAGAGACAGTTTCCAGAGTGTGTCTGTGTGTGAATTCACACTTCTTTAGGGGAAGAAGAGGCATTCGGAGAGGTTAACTGACTACTGAAGACACACCATAGTGGTAGTGACCAGACGCAACAGCCACTTTCCTGACTTCAGTGGGGGATGGGAAGACGGCAGCCAACGTGACTTGAGGGCTATGGCCCTGTCTCTGGTCCTGAAATCCGGGGGTCTCCGTGGCTTTAAGTTGAGTCCATCTATGATTTGAGGCTTCATGTCTTTCATCTTCAACACTATTGCAGTATCTATTCTTACGCTAAAATCTGAGATTCTATTGGTCCATTCCACTCTAATCCAGTGAATCAGCACAGGGAGGATACTTTTCACATCTAACCAATGGAGAAACGGGGCACAGAGGGGCTAGCTGGCCTAGCCAGGACAAGGTGAGAAATAGACCTCGGGTGAACGCCTGTGTCGAACCCCCCGCCTGGCCCCCCGGCTTTTCAGCTATCCCCGTGGATTTCTCAGTACCTTTCCACTTTCAAGGCCACTACTTAAAACACACTAAAACATTCACCCGTCGCATGATGTACAGTTGTCCCCTTTGTGTAGTGGATGGTGACCGTGACCACAAGTGGTAGGATTCAAACGAACCTCTCTCAGCACGATTTGCTCCGCTTTCCCTCACCGCCAAAGGTGCATTCTGAAGCCACCACTTTAGGGTGAGTGGAGACCAGGAACCCGGAGACACAGAACAAGGCCCTTCTCATATGCAGGTGTGTGGTCCTGCCGAAGGCGTCCACTTAGAAAATCATGAGCTCCTGAGGGACAGTGCTAGGTGCAGGCGCCTGACACAGGATCTGCACGGAGCTGACACAGCAGATGGCGGTGCTGGGCGCGGAGTGATCCCTGCTGCGCTGGGCAGGCGGTGGCCGTGGCGGGGGGACGTTTCTGGTCAGCCCGCGGGTCTGTCGCTTCTGCCTGCAGCAAGCGGCAATAAGCATGAGCTTTATAGGCTCTGCGCTCCATGGCCTTCCCCAGCACCCTGGCAACGGGGCGCAGCACCTCCAGGTAGCTTGAAGGTGGTTCTTGTGCTGTTCCACCTGGCTCCGTGTCTCCTGTGGCATGAACATCTCCACCTTCGCCCATTTCGTTTTCCCTTGGCCTCTTAAAAAGAGATTTCTTTAAAAAAATGCCTGTTGAAAATATTTTTACCAAAGTGATACCTGATCTTTGTAGAAGATTAAAAAGAAAGCTAGCACCTCCTCCATCCTCAAGCGCTGACTAGCGACTTCCAGCAAGACCCTCTCTTGGCTTCTGGGAGGCTTGGCTTCAGCTCGCCGCTGCGCCAGCCTCCCTCAGCGACCCGCCCTCCTGCCGCGTGGTTCTTCCCAGCCAGCTCTCCTCTGCTCTTGGGATTAATCTACCCTCCCTCCTCGACCCCGATATAGACATCTACTCACGTAGCCTCGGCTATGACCTCCCTAGTTTCCAAAGCTTTGGCCGTCCTCAAGTTCCTAACCTCTAGTTAGTAAATCGGGCTGGCGTTTTCCAGCCTGGGAAATCCACGTTTGCATGAATTTGTCTCCCTGCTCCGCTGAGTCCTTTTGCCTCTTCAGCTCTGTGTTCTTCCCGTTTCCCTGGCCCCACTTTCCTCTAGACTCCTCTCTCTCTGCTCATCTTCCATTTATTCTTTGCCACTTGCATCGCTCGGATCCCCTCCCCCAGTGAAAGCTGCCAAAGCAGATGCACCTGCTAGGGCGTGTCTGGCCAGTTCACCCCGACTCATCTCTAGCCCAGCCCCAGGGACCTGTATTCCAGGAGGGGAGTCTGGATGATCGACATTCTCCGCATCCGGGACAACCAGGCCCCCCCTCCCCGCTCCGGCTGTTTGAGCTCTTATCCCACGTGGACCCATAAAGTCCTAGTTACTTATTTTTACCTATGTAATTTAAAAGTTATTTCAAATGGCTCCTTCAGAAAAACTTTTTTTAGCTGTCCCCTGAAAAGTTCGGCACAGTTAAAAGATGGAGAGATCCAGGCGAAGTTTCTGAGTGGCAAGAACTTCACTGTTTTCCAGGGCGAGGCTCCCACCCCCCAGCTGGGCGAAGAAGCGCGCCCTGGGCAACACGGGTAAACTTTTCTAGAGCATGGACGCTGCTTTTTCAGAAACTGATTCACCGGTGACGCCTATCAGTTCCCGGAAGGCAGGCAGTTCCCAGACTTTCGGAGGCTCAAGGATTTGGAGGCCCCAGGCATGCACACCTTAGCAGCCCCAAATTCAAGGTCACCCCCCCACACCTTGCCCAGCTGCCTAGACCCCTCCCCCAACACCTCCCGTTTGATCTTCCCACCTTTGAAGACCTATAAGTGGGGTGTCTCAACATGACATGAATTTGCCATGTGGGGTATGGTCTGTAATCGTGTTGATTCTCCCCGGCAGATTTTGCAGCTCTTGAAGGTGTGTGGCTGCCTCACCGGCTCGCCTGCCCCAGGTGGGGGCAGAACCTG